CTTGCTGTACTTCTAGTAGTCCTGGACCTATACGGTTACATACATGCCCCTTGCTGTAGTTCTGTCACTGAATCCTGTAACAGGTCAATTGCTGTACTCTGTTGGTGAGTCCTGTTACATGCTCCTTGCTGTACTTCCGGCAGCGAGTCCTGTTATATGTCCCTTGCAGTATTTTCTAGCACATGTCTCTTGCTGTTTATGGTGGTGGCACCATCTCATTCATGGTTGTACACATCGTGGCTGGGATTCCCAAAACCAACATCTGCTTTTTATATATGGACTGCAAACTTTGTTCTGTAAAAATATCAAGGGGAGGTTTAAAAATAAGTGCTTACAATACCAGTAATCTCATGAAACACCTCGAAATGAAACAAAAACAAACATACGCATGGAGAATTTACAGCTGTTGCTAGCACTAAGCAGCTGATGCTGCAGCAAGCCCTCTCAAGATGAGAAAATGTATCCATGGATAACCCAGGGGCTATAAAAATAACTGAGGCGGTTACCCAATTCATCGTTCTTGATGATCGGCCACTATCAATATTTGACAACGCGGGTTTTCGGCAACTTCTTAAAGTTTTGGAGCCCAAGTATGAAATATCCAGTCATCATTACATGACACAGTAAAAAAACACATTGCCAGCATGCTGCAGGAGGACATAAAGGCGATCAGATGGCAATTTCACTCTGCATCAAGTCATGCTCCACGCAAAGAAATTTCAAGGCTCTCACACAGGCCAAGCTATAAAGAGCATACTTGAAGAAACACTTGATACTTGGTAGTCCGTGATAATGCCAGAAATATGATAAAAAGACATAGAAGATACTGGAATTCAGTCTTTTTTGTGTGGCACATCCACTGCAGCTGGCTGTCTCAGAGGGTCTTTTATCACAGTACAGCACTGAAGATGCAGTGGGAGTCAGGAGCAGAATAGCTGGCAACTTTAACCATTGAAGCCTGGCATAGTCTCGAATGCAGGATTTTCAGATCCAGCTCAGTCAACCTGTTAAAAAGACTTCAACAAGATGTTCAGACTTGCTGGAACAGTACTTTTTACATGCTACAGCCTGAGCAGAAGCGGGCCATAGGTGTATGTGTGTCAGAACATGAGCTGCCTGCAACTATCACTGCAAATCAGTGGAATCTCATGGTCAAGATGATTAACATCTTGGTTCCTTCTGACGAATTGACTCACCCAGTGAGTTGTTCAGATTCTTTTGCCTCAGCTGTAATTCCTGTAGTCACTGTGTTACAGAGACTCTTATCATAAAAAGTGGTTGAGGACCCACAGTGTTATAACTATGAAGAACACGTTGCTTGGTGCTTTGCAGAAATGCATCTCTGACATGGAACAAAACCCACTTTACGACATCGCTACCTTACTACATCCAAGGTAATTTTTTTTCTTAAGTGTTTTTTTTTTGTTACAAGAACATGTATTATACTTACTTCACCTGCTCTGTGCAATGGTTTTGTGCAGAGCAGCCCATATCCTCCTCTTTTTGGGGCCCCCTGCCAGCCCTCCTGGCTCCTCCCCTATGAGCATTGTCCCTACAAGCAAGCTGCTTGCTCTAGGGGGACTGGTGCATGTTCACTCCCGAGCCTCGCACTATGCGTCCATTTAAGACACAGAGCTGTGGCTTGGCACTACTCTTCTCATTGGCTCATTGGATGTGATGGACAGTAGCAGGAGCCAATGGGCTCCCACTGCTTTCTCAGTCAATAAGGAAAGAGAGCCTCAGGAAAAGCTTCACTCTTGTGAACATTGCTGGACCAAGCGAGGGCTTGGATAAACATTAGGGGGAGGGCTGCACACAATGTTCTTTATAACTGTATCCTCCTAAGGGTCATGGTTATATGATGCCCTAGGAGGTGTGTAGGGATGATTCCTATTATTGATGAGGATAACAGTTTCTATTGGAATTGTACTGCGGATTAGAGTATGGTTTATATTGCGCATAGTGTGGGTGTTCATAATTAGGATGCCACTGCAAATTACGCGAACCCACATTGTGATCAGCAATGGGATCAAATCTATTATAAGTTGGAATATTGAACTTATTTGGTTTCCCATTGGTTTTGGGGGATTGGTGTTGTGGGTAAGAGGATTTAGGTCTGTTGTGGGGTTGTGATTTTTTTTACTTTACCCTTATTGATGTTAGTGAATGTGGGAGTGTTTGTTGTTTGCGCAGTGTCTTCAGTAGATTGCCATTTAAAGACTACATTCTACTGATAATCTTTGAAGTCCCTATTATACTTTTTTCTTTTTCTTAGTCTTTTGTTTTTTCTTTAGTCCACACTGTTTACTACATTCGTGTTTGAAAGTGGATATTCACATATGCTCTAATAAATCTTAATTGAATATACCGTATATACTCGAGTATAAGCCGACCCGAATATAAGCCGAGGTACCTAATTTTACCACAAAAAACTGGGAAAAACTATTGACTCGAGTATAAACCGAGGGGGGAGGAATAGTGCCCCATCATTGGTGTCAGTCAGTGGGGGGAGGAATAGTGCCCCATCGTTGGTGTCGTTGGTGGGGGGAGGAATAGTGCCCCATCGTTGAGATGCCCCATCGTTGGTGTCAGTGGGGGGGAGGAATAGTGCCCCATCGTTGGGTGGGGGGAGGAATAGTCAGTGGGCCCCATCGTTGGTGTCAGGTGGTTGGGAGGAATAGTGCCCCATCGTTGGTGTCAGTGGGGGGGAGGAATAGTGCCCCCGTTGGTGTCAGTGGGGGGGAGGAATAGTGCCCCATCGTTGGTGTCAGTGGGGGGGAGGAATAGTGCCCCATCGTTGGTGTCAGTGGGGGGGGGAGGAGGAATAGTGCCCCATCGTTGGTGTCAGTGGGGGGGAGGAATAGTGCCCCATCGTTGGTGAGTGCCCCCCTGCTCCAAGTGCCCCTGTTGGGCTCGCTCGTGTCCCTCTCCCATGGTACACACTTACCAGTCAGATGTCTTGACCCCTTCTCCGGCTCGCTCTCCTCCTCATTCACACTTACCGTCGATCTTCGCGGTGCTCGCTCGGCTCGCTCCTCGGCTCCTCCAAGCTCCAAGCACCTCCTCGCCGGTGATTGGGCGCCTGTGTGCCTCTCCTGAGCTACAGTTCCGGCGGCCAATCACCGGCGAGGATTGATCCCGGCGGTGTGTCCAGATGACAGGGACGGCATGTCATCTGCAGACGTTGACTCGAGTATAAGCCGAGGGGGCCGTTTTTCAGCACAAAAAAATGTGCTGAAAAACTCGGCTTATACTCGAGTATATACGGTACTACACTATGGAGATGTCTCTGCTTTGACTCCCTTGTGGAGTATTAATCTGCAGCCATCCACCTGACCACCGGAGAGGGAACCTCTATAACTACCAGGGGGTAGTACTCAAGCTACCACCTAAGGGATACTCCTGACCATCCTGAAGTCCTACCATTAATACCTAGGACCATAGGAGGAAACTCACTGGGTTGCAGTCACTCTCCGGACCTGGCAGATGACATCAGAATATATATTCTAAACGCTCATTAAATGGTGCGTTCTGGTGAGTGCACATTCTTTCCGCACGTAATCTCACAGCACTTTACCCTTAGGAGGATACAGTTATAAAGAACATTGTGTGCAGCCCTCCCCCTAATGTTTATCCAAGCCCTCGCTTGGTCCAGCAATGTTCACAAGAGTGAAGCTTTTCCTGAGGCTCTTTTTCCTTATTGACAGAGAAAGCAGTGGGAGCCAATTGGTGAGTGCGCATTCTTTCCACACGTAATCTTACAGCACTTTACCCATAGGAGGATACAGTTATACAAGCACCTCAAGTCACTTCAAGTCACTCAATGAACTGTACTATTAATGGTGTCCATATATTTATATATCTGTATATATAGTGTGATTTCTTTTTAGCGCTGTACTTCCTATTTTACATTGTCTATTTACAGGTTTTTGGTTACCTGGTGCACAGCTGCTTCTTTCTTTGTGTGTGCTCACAAATATTTTACTGTATATGCAATGTTCTTTATGTTCATGTATAAAAAGTAAATAAACTACATAAAAGGTAAAACCTTGAGCCTTTAATAAAACCACTTTAAAATGTATTTTTGGTGTAATTTTGTTTCTCAATGCACAAACAGGATAGCATCTGCAGTGCTTGCAATTTCATCATTGTGGTCTTGTTGTTTAGATATAAAGATCGGTTCTTGAATGCAGACACTGGCAGGCAGGCAGGCCAAAGAAATGTTCCTAATGGAAATGCAAAAAATATCTGAACAGGCAGCTACATCAGAGGTGCTTGAGAAACCAGCTGTCAAAAAGCAAGGTACCAGCCTGGACAGTGTTTTTCAAGAGATTGCTTATTCATCTACATCTGAGAGCAGTGCTCCCATAGCTGCTATCATACAACTAGAAGCATATCTTGGAAAAAGTCACTGTGCCTCGTTCGGACAAACCTCCTAAGTACTGGGCAGTTGATAAACTGCGATTTCCAATTCTGGGCCAAATGACACAAAAAAGATCTTTCAGCTCCTTGCAGTAGTGTGGAAAGTGAGAGATGGTTCAGTGCAGCGTCACACTAGAAACCGAATTCTAACTGAACATGCAGAGATACTGCTGTGTCTTAACTACTTGCCAACCACAGATAGCCGAATGACGGCTACACTGCGGCCAGCCAGTTCTGGGAGGGCATCATATGACGTCCTCCCAGAACGCGCTCTCCTGCGCGCCCCCGGCGATCTCCGTGATCGTTGTGTCTTACGGACACAGCTGATCACGTGATGTGGTAAAAGGCCAATCACAGTGGCCTTTTACCATGTGATCAGCCATGTCCAATGGCACGCTGATCACCAGGAAATGCAATTGCCGGTTCTCGGCTGCACTTTCTTGCGCTGTCAGAGTGCGAGGAAAGTACTGCCGAGAACCAGCAGTTGTCAGAGCAGGGATCGGCACGGGCATGGGCATGGATAGGCTGCACTGATGGACACTGATAGGTGGCATTGATGAAGAGGCACTGGTAGATGGCACTGATGGGCATTGACAGGGATCACTTATGGGCACTGAAAGGCAGCATTGATATATGGCACTGATAGGGCACTGACTGGCACTGTTAGGCATTGATAGGTGACACTGACTGGCAATGAAAGGCAGCTCAGATGGGCACTGATATGTGGCATTGATGTGCACTGGTAGGCACTGATATGTGGTATTGATGTGGCACTGGTAGGCACTGTTGGGGTATTGATGTGGACACTGATCATGGCACTGTTGGGGCACACTGATCATCAGTGCTCTGATGATCAGTGTACATGTCCCCTCCGCGGAATGCCAATTACTGGCTCTCCTCTTGAGCTGTCAGCGTGACAGCTCAAGAGGAGAGAAATGCCAATAACTGGCATTTCCCTGTTTACATGTGATCAGCTGTGATTGGACACAGCTGATCACATGACCGAGCCAACATCTTCGGCTCTTTCCGTGGATCGGTGATCCGCTGTGTCCGAGGGACACAGCGCACCGCCGATCGCCACGCTGCACGCTCCAGGAGCCGCACATGTGGGGTTAGAATGGGAGGACGTCATATGACGTCCTCCCAGAACAAGAGAACCACCTTGCGTCCATCATATTACTATATGGCGGGTGGGAGGTGGTTAAAGCAATCCACTGAGCTGGCCAGAACCAACTCTTGAGGGAGTCTATTCCACAGCTCTTATTGTGAAGAAAACTTTTCCGTGTTTGGAGATTAAATTTCTTTTCCTCCAGACGTAAAGAGTGCCCTCTTGTCCTCTGTGATGACCTCAAGGTGAATACTGGTATAGGGCCTACCTGAAACTTCCTGAAAGTCACATACACATACATACATACATACGATTTTGCATAGAGCGGCTGCCCTGTAGCAGTATATCTGCTATAGGGCGGTAGGCAAGTCGTTAATAATTTAAACACGTTCTGTGAAATTTGAGCTCACAACTTTGTGTCAAGCAAATAAAAAGGGGGGTTGCTGACAAGCAACCGACGAAGATACCAACCAATATCACCCTCCAGAATAGCGCCTGACGCCCTACTCCCAGGCCTGCCAGCTCCCCATGGACCTGTCTGGGGCATCCTGACAGCTACACCCATGGGGCTTGGTCCCCAAAGTTTCCCTACCTCCAGCATTCTCTTCTATTGGGAGGGGGAGGCAGTGGCTGACCTCCCGTGCTCAGCAGGAACACCCTTCACTCACCTCCGCCTGCAGTCCTTCCACTGGCCCACGTGTCTCCCCCGGCTCAGTTCCTGTTGACAGCCTCACAGCTCGGCCCTCGCCGCCATTGTAGGGCCGACCCTACACCACATCCGCCTCCCACCTCCACGCCGGCCACTGGATCCCTGAGCCACCTGCTACCACTCTGGACCAGACGCCATTGCAGACGGCTGACACTCCTGAGTTCTCCTGCACAGAAGGCTGAGTTCTCCTGCACAGCTGTGTCCCATCTCTCCTGTGAAGCACCAGGGCGCTCATATAACCTAACGCCCTTCTGCCCTCTTCCTCTCTATACAGGCAGGAAGAAATAGACCTGCTCACCACCATAAGGGAGCACCTACTCACAAGTCGGCATCACCCTGCCCACCCCTCTTGTCAGTGATCCTCTGCTACAATCTGGGCTCGCTGGAGCAGTTTCTGCTTGGCCTCTGACCTCTGTGAGCCTGTCCAGAAGGTCCACCTCAAATCAAGGGGAGTCAGAGTTACCGTGCCTACTGCAGGGCTGCACTGAGGAATAAACCCCCACCCACTCTACAGGGTCCCACTGTCTGCCCAAGGGAGACCTTGTTGACAGGCACCATCCTCCCCCCAGTTTGATTCCACGGGTCCTAGAGTTCGGAATATTTTTTCAGTTCCTGCCCGATTAGACTCCATGGCGGGGGGTTTGTTTCTATGACCCCATCTGCCTTGGGACAGTCCTTCATCCAAACATTTGCAGCCTCCCTCAAGACCACAGGGAAACATTGTTCCGCAGCTCTTCTCCAAAATGGCTTCTCAATTTTCACCTGAACATCCACTCTCGTCCCAGGAGCCCGTGTCCCAATTGGACGACTATTCTAATGACAGCCTTTCAGCCGCTCAAATGGCGCAGTGACTGTCCAAGATTCAGCCCTTGAGAAGTTTAAACTTCTTCTCCAACAGGAATTAAACACTGCAATGGAACAACTCACCACCAAGCTTACTCGCAAAATAAGAGACATAGGCACCCATATTGACGATCTTGAACACAAAATGGATGATGCCATCCTGGTGATTGACAACCATGGACAAGATATTGACACTATAAAACTGAACCTTACTCCGCTCTCCAGAAACTTGAAGATTTGGAGAATCGTAGAAGGAGGGGTTACTTCCGGATCAGAGGTCTCCCTGAATCCATACTTAACAGTACAGTTACCGCCCTACTGCCAGAACGTATTCCACGAACCCCAATTGAGACTGGAATTCAACAGAATCCACAGGGCCCTAGGCCCGAAGAGACCCAAGGGTCCCCTCCATGACATTATAGTCAAACCTTCTTTTTATAAGACCAAATATACCATCATTTAAGCAGCCTGGTCCAAGAGGAACTTGACTTTTCAATCTCACAAATACCACATACCCTATGTCAAGGCATGCCAGATCAACCTCCAGACCAGATGTCCCAGATGAAGATTGAATCTGAATCGCTTCCCTTTTTTGCTCCTGTTTTTTCCTTTTTTGGGCTGATCTGCCATTTTTGGGCCCTATAGTCCCACCACTAGGATATTCAGCGACGTCTCTGTAGCTTTAGACATACTATTCTTTACGCATGTTTATGAACGTCCTTATATGTCCTCTTCACCTGCCACATTAGTCTGTTTTTTACTTTTAGGGGCACCCACCATTGTGCCTTCCATACCGCTTTAGAACTTACATGCTACACCCCACCACCACTTTATTTTTGGCCCCATTCAGGTGGTTAGTGAATCTCCCACCCCACCCCCCCTTTTTTTTTATCCCTCCTCTCCCCCCCCCCCCTGCCCTCCCAACGTCAGGCAACAGTTATGATACTCTTCTTCTTTAGCTGTTATAATTTGCAACTCACACCTGGTTAGCTTAGGTGACCCCCACATATGGCAGCGAGATTGATCACCGCCATTGTTTGCTTCAGCATCCCTCCAGACGAGCCATGGGAGACATCCTCCACACGTGGTGGACGTGTCCCATGCTTTCCCAATTCTGGACGAAAAGTACTTAAGCTCCTACACTCATTACTTAACTATTCCTTCCCAAGGGTCCCGTAGCATATCCTTCTACATTTATGCCCCTCAGGCCTCACCAAATACCAGTTTCAACTGGCTACCTACTTGCTACTGGTGGCAAAACAAACCATAGCTAAAGCCTGGAAACAACAAATTTATTTCCTTCATGGATGTCCACTGCCGCCTAGCCTTTTTTTCCATTAACGAACAAGTTTCAAGTATTCTCTTGGACAACCAGGAGAGATTCTTTAAATATGGACTCCATGGATCCAACATGCCCACCCTACTATGTCACCAGCCAGTTTCACATCACTATAACTTACTTAGACCCTACGGCTCAGACTCAGGTGCTCCAGACATCCCTTCTCTTGTTCCTATTTTTTGCTGCCCCTTTTTTAATTTTTTTTATTCTTTTACTTTCGGCTCTTTATAGAACGATTTTCTTCCTCTATATTTCCTAGTTAGATTTTTAGTTCACTTAATACACAGATACCTCTTTCACCAACGCCAGTTCTCGTGGCATAGGCATATGGCGACTTGTCTGGTATCCTTATCTCATTGTTATGATGTGTTTACTGTTCTTCTGCAATGCCAACTATTTTGACTTTTGTTACGGCTTTACAGATTTATACACAGCCGCATTCATTTTGCTATTGTTGATTTTATACTTCTACTTGTACAGTGAAAAAAATAAGTATTTGATCCCCTGCTGATTTTGAACGTTTGCCCACTCACAAAGAAATGATCAGTCTAAAAATCGAGTGGTAATTGTATTGTAACACAGAGACAGAATAGCAACAAAAAATAAAAAAAAAACTGCATGTCTAAAAAATGATGCACTGATTTGCATGTTCATGAGGGAAATAAGTATTTGATCCCCTTCACAAAACATGGCTTAGTACTTTGTTGCAAATCCCTTGTTGGCAGTCACAGAGGTCAGATGTTTCCTGTAGTTGGCCACCAGGTTTGCACACATCTCAGGAGGGATTTTGGCCAACTCCTCTTGGCAGATCCTCTCCAAGTCATTAACCTCCCTGGCGGTATTCCTGAGTGTAGCTCGGGGTACAATTTCAGTACCACAAGCGGTAACCCCAAGCTACACTCGGGAATACCATGCGGCGCTGCTCTGCGATCAATCGATCACTTACCTTGTCCTGCGTTCCCGCGATGTCCCTCCTGCAGTGTCCCCTGCAATGTAATCTGGCGTATGCCGGGATCTGTCATCTGGGTTCCGTCCCCTGTGAGCGTCGGGACGTACGGGGGACGGAACGGCGTGAAATTTTAAAATGACAAAAAGTGACAGTCACTCAAATCACATAGTAAAACTTTACTGTATTATTATTATTATACTGTGGGGGATGGAGTGGGTAGGAGAGTGGGAGGAGGTCGGCAAGTTAGCAGGGTGGGGTAGGCTTCCCTGAAGAGATGGGTTTTCAGGGTGCGCCTAAAGGAGAGGAGAGTAGGTGATAATCTGATGGGTTGGGGCAGGGAGTTCCAGAGGATGGGTGACACCCTGGAGAAGTCCTGGAGGCGGGCATGGGAGGAGGAGACCAGGGAACTAGAGAGAAGGAGGTCTTGTGAGGAGCGGAGTGTGCGTGCTGGGCGGTACTTGGATATTAGGTCAGTGATGTAGTTTCGGGGCAGTATAGTGGACAGCTTTGTACGTCAGCGTTAGGATTTTGAATTTGATCCGTTGTGCAATCGGAAGCCAGTGGAGGGATTGGCAGAGGGGGTGGCGGAGACAGAGCGGTTAGAAAAGGTGAATGAGTCTGCAGCCGTATTCAGGATCGACTGAAGCGGGGATAGCAAGCGGCGAGGCAGGCCAGTGAGGAGGGAGTTGCAGTAGTCGAGTCGTGAGATGATGGAGAGTGGATGAGCTGATTTAGTGGTTTCTGGGTTAGGAACGTGCGGATTTTGGCGATGTTGCGGAGGTGGAGTCTGCACGAGGTTTTGTTAAAGATTGGACTTGGGGTTGAAAGAATAGGTTGGAGTCCAGAATGACACCAAAGTACCTCTGGCCTGCAGGGCGGGTTGATGGTAGCGTTGTTGGATGTGACGGAGAAATCAATGGGGGGTGGTGTCCGGGCTGGGGGGAAGACAAGCAACTCGGTTTTGGAGAGGTTCAGTTTAAGAAAGTGGAGTGACATCCAGTCTGATATGTCACTCAGTAGTGTGTGATTCGGGCTGAGACCAAGGG